GAAGTGTAAGGCCGTCTAAATCGGTTTCATTAATAGTTCCAATCATGAAAGGAAATGGTGAATTGCGTTTGTGTGTAAATGCGAGATGTGCGAACGCCGCCATCTTGCGAGGAAAATACCACCCCTTGCCTACTATGGACCTAAAATGAAGAAAGCTAAATATTTTAGCAAATTAGACATAAAAAATGCCATCCATCAAGTATAAATTCGCTCTGAATACTTTTATAACCGCAAAAGATCACAGTCATGACCTTGCTGTATTTGAGTAATACGTTCAATACTGTTGACTTCGATATACTGTTGAGTCAGTTGTGTTCCCTTAACCCTTAAGTGCATGAACTTTTTGTTTTAACTAATTTAAACATATAATTTAGATGTTTAGGTCTTGAATTTGGGAAAAATAAAGAAAAAAATTATTTTCATTTTTTTTAAAGTAATTTTAATAAAAAAAAGTTTGTATCATTTTTGATACATTATGTATTAACGTCATTTTTTGTACGGTAAGTTAAGTAACTTTCCTACCTAACCGATTTTGTTGAATAGTTCCCAGACATAATATCCCTTTCTTAGCTAAGTAATACATATGAGATAAAGAGGTGTGGAAATTGTGAAAGTAAACAATGTGGTTTACTTTGCGTGGGATAATCCTCAACAATTTTACAACAGTGTTCCCAACCACTCCCAGATATGGTTCGTTTTCCATCATAGATTCATTATCTTTTCCTGTATAAATTATGATTTTGTATGCATACCCTAGCAGTGAACATAGCATATAAAATTTGAACCCCCCATTTGTGAGGTTTATTTGGGAGGTATTGTTTTAGGAAGTGGCCCATTTTCGTTACACACATTTTTATGTGTTCATCTGTGGAAAGCCTTTGGTCTATATGAATGCTAGAAACTCTCATTCAGATGTTCTACCTCAGGTCGCAGCTTGTGTAGTTTATCGTGGTTGGGGTTGTCTATAGGCAGATGTTTGAAGTTGTCGTTAAAATGTAATATATATCAAATTTTTTCAAATCTATATAATGTCATACTCTATATAATTGGCATAATTCCGTATTTTTTATTCCAGTAAGCTCCTATATTTGGATGATGAAAAACTGACATAGATATTAATTCCCATCAAGTACTATTGTAACTTTGATTTTGTGATTGGATCTGGTCGGTCGGGATTTTTTTGGATTGAATATCGAGTAGACCTTTTACAATCTTATCTAAAAAATCAGGAGTAAAAAAAATAACTGAAAAATTGATATGGACTTTCTAGGGCTATAACTTAGAGAGAATATTTTGTCTCGTTCTGAAAACGAATGCTATCTTCCCAAAACTCTGAGGAATGTTTCCTTCATTTGAGTCTAGCATTTTCAATCGTAATATGACACCTGTTGGGAATATTTTGTGCAAAACCACTACCTTCATTCACTAAGGGAGGATTATCATCATTTCGCAAATAATTTTCGTCATTTACAAGAGGTGGTACACCTTCGTCCCGGATTTGAGGCTTATGGAAATCACCGTAACCCATTTGTTCTTCCCCGTGATTTTCTAAAGCAGCACGAATTTCATCAATATTTGGGTGATGATCTAATTTATAATCATCAGACTCTGCTTTCTCCTCCGATAAAAATCCACCTTCCAATATTGCTAAAAGGTCTTCAATCTCATTATCTTTTATTTTATTTTTTTTCCATGCTCCAAAAGTGAGGAAAAACATATAACAATCACATATCATACAAGCCTACTATAGTAGCGAAAATGTACAAACGGGACCTACTAACTGCATAATGTCATCATTTTTGATACAACTAAAATTATCATTTTTTTTATCAAACGCCAGTAAAATTCACTTGAAATATGTGTTTAACAAAGAAACAATACTCCAACCTGTATTTTTAATATTTTTCCGGGTCAGCTTTTGTGTTAAAATCACTCCAAAATAAATCAATAAAAATTTATAATCCCACGAAAAAAGGTTATGACAGACAGGAAAAAAGTTTTCATAGTTACCGCCAAATTATTTAGGAAATGGTCATCGATTACTTAAACATTCTAAAAGATGATTAGGCATAGGATATATTTAACATACAGCGTAGTTGTGTGTACGTAGTTTAACAAAATTATGAATCGATAATCTCATCGTATCATTTTTGATACAATATGCACTTAAGGGTTAACATATCTCCATCAGTAATTGGCTGGTTTCAAAGTTATCTCTGTGGCCGTCGACAGTGTACTTGCGTCGATGAAACTCACTCATCTTGGTGTGATATTACAGCAGGCGTACCGCAGGGCTGCGTGTTGTCACCTATACTCTTTTCCATTTTCATTAATTCAATCACACATAAAATATCTTATCGCTACCACCCATTCTTGACTATGCTGACGCAAACTAAGTAGACATAACCGAGGACCAGCTAGATAAGCTTGAGAGACTTCAAAATACTAGTATTTGGTTCATATTTGGATAGCGCATATGTCCCGATTTCGCTCACGTCTCAAGTCAAGTGGTTGACAGTGGTAGAGCAACGCAGCACCTTTTGCTGTCGCATGGATGGACCGGCTCAAACCGGGGTGGTACCACGACCTCATAGAATACCAGCGTAAAATAGAGAGTTACCTCTGTGTTTCGCTTGTATAGTGCAGTTGGCCGGAGGCCGCCTCGACAGTCTTGAAGGTATGACTATATGACTTTGCTTTGGCATATGGTCTGACACAACTCGTTACTGCGCCTACGCAGATTTTAGATGTGGAAGCTCATACACCTTCCCTGTTGGATCTTCTGCTGACCTCTCATCCGGACGGATATCAGGTTTCCGTCGACGCCCCTTTAGGGTCGTCGAACCAGTCTTATCCGGAGTGTGTTGACAGTCACATTAACGTCGCGGTTGCATTCTGCAGGCTGACGCCGTGTTTGGATCTACAGGTTGACCGATTGGGATGGGATGCGGTCTTTTTTTGCATCCTACCCTTGTTTACTTCTCGCCGGACGATCCTAGCGTTGTTGCTGATTCTGTCGCTGATGTGGTACTTCAGGGTATGTAACTTTTTATTCCGTCCTCTGTGGTGCACATCGGAGATAGATCCCAGCCATAATTTGGTCGCTGTAAAATAGCATCACGCTATAAGCAGGAGCGATACTGGGCCCGGGCCGACGCATCAATGCCACGAGATGTAAACACCAGCGCTCTTAAAAAGGAGCATAATTCCGCCTCCAGGTCCTTCAAAAGAGTCATTGCCAAGGCAAGGTCTGAGCACATCGGTAGAATGGACGAGAAGCTAGTTGGCCTTCCTTCGGGAACCCGTGCATTCTGGTCTTTCGCCAAGGCTGTCTAAAGGAACTTCTGTCAGTCATCTCTATTCACAGACTCACTGGCCCATGCCGCAAAGGAGAAAGGCGATCTGTTAGGCTCTCTCTTTGCATCCAACTCGACTCTCGATGACGGGGGGAACACACCGCCGACCATTCCGCGATTTGACCCCATTATTTTATAGAAAATCGCAAAACTTAAACACAGTAAATCAAACTCAGACACTCAAAAACTGTTACGAAACCATGAAATTAAATTACCAATTCACATAAAGCAATATAATAGGTAACTACTAATCAGTGTCCACATGAATTACCTTTTTAATATCAAAGCATTAGAAAAATTAACAAAAAGAATAAAACATAAACTCTCACTTAAAAATGAACTCTATGATGTCTTTCTATTTTTAATAATCAGTAACAAAACCAATGTGATACAAACAAAAATTAAACAGACTCACTTGAAAACCAACTCGAAATGAAGTCTTTCTAAGTATTTCTAATATTCAGTAACGAAATCAGAGGTATGAAACAACACAAAAAACATATCAGCCTGAAAAACCAAATCATTTTTATCGAATCATTTCTACACGTGAGTACCTACTTCAGAAATAAATTTTGTGGTTTTCTTCAGACAATATGTATTCTTTGTCGCTTTCATTATTTTTTTTAATTTAAGCTTCTTTCCAATCAGTTGCTTTGTTACTTGATCATAATCCTTCTTTTTTGATATTACAAATGTAAGTTGCGGTCTTCTTATTGTTTTCAGGTATACTAAGTACTGTATAGTAAGTTTCCTCATCCTTGTTTATGACTTTCTCAATAACACCTACAAAATAATTCCATTTTTTTTCTGCAGTAGTGCCCTACGAGTACTAATCATTCAGTTTGTAATCATCTTTCTGGTCTTGGATATCATTTTCTTCTTCATTTTCGGCCGTCTTTTCGTAATTCTTATCAACGTCTAAAATACCAGATTTTTTGTATTTAATGTCGTATTCTTGTTTAATTTTGGTATTATTTACAGTTTATTTTTTGTCGAAATCATAATTATTCCCACTATTGCATGAATTTCAATTGTCTGGACTGAACTCTTTAGATTTGTCACTACTTTTATTCATTTCATCATTTTTTTCTTCCGTATTTACTTTTCCTTTACTCTTCCCTTTTTTTGGAAACGTTTACTTTACTAAGTATCTTGGCACATTCATCATTTGTTCTATCGTCAATATTTTCTTCTAACAATTTAAAATCTTCGTTTGGTAAATCGTCTAAGCTCGTTAATATCTGTGTCACTGTAGATGCTAATTGTCTCTGAATGGCTAGTTGATTTATCTAAATTTTCTTATCGTTTTGACTTTTTGCTTTGTCTCCTTTTGTTCACTTTTTTTTGTACCTGATGTTCCTTGTTGTGAGGGTTGCTTAATTTCTTTAGAACGTTTTCCCAGTCTTGACTTTTTTCAAAAAAGTTTGCTTTTTTCCTTCTTAAAAAATGTTTTTGCCTAGTGATAGAGTTATTATTTCAGCACCTTTAGCTCTCTCTTCTTTTTTACCGGCACCTTGTCTCTTCTTTCCTGTCATACGTCGTCGTTTTCTAGCAAAAGATCTTCGAAATTAACTTTTAGGTTGGATAAAATATTTATCTTAGTTTTTCATTTTCTTTGGGCTTAAGGTGACGGCTTTTTTGGAACTATAAGCATTTTAGTGAATCTGATGCGTCATTTACTACAAAAGGCTGACAAGTGTAGTCTTTCTTTGACAGTTGACTCAAGAAGGTCACATATTCAGAACCGAAGTCATTTTGGCTTAGAGTACTTACTTCTTTTCCAGCATGGTTAGGAGCCTCACTAGAGTAAAACTCATCGTTGAAAACAAGGACGCACAGTTCTTTTAATGATTTTGGATTTCTGGGATCTAGCAGCCCTTGAGAATGTTCCGCCTTTTTTTTCAGGTATCTCTTGTAGGCTTCTGACTTGAATTTATCTACTGGTACTACGTTGCGGTTGAATGAATAGATTCCAGATTTTTTGAAGCATTTTATGATAATTTCAGGATTCGTCTCTTGCCATGTATCCGCGAAGGTTTTCGCGAACACATTTTTGGGCATTTTAACGCCTATATTACGCCGCTAGCACTCTACAAGTTTGGCATCCCAACTGATATTAAAAGATTTAAACACCGCTACATCCAATGGTTGTAGTAAGTGTGACGTATGTGGTGGAAGTTGTTTCGCACAGCTAGATCTACTAAATTTGCATTCACATGTGTGGAGTGCCCATCATAAACTAACAAGACCGGCTGCTCTTCACCCAGAGCTAGATCAGAACTTTTTCAAAGTAATTATAAAAAAAATCCGTTTCCATCCAACCCTTTCCACTAGCTGCGTATGCGATGTCGAAGTCATAGTTTTGTGAGTCGGTAATCCACTGATCCCATAAATTTTTGCCTTTATATATTATTAAAGGGTCCAATTTATTGCCGGCAGCGCTTGCAGTAGCTAAAACTGTCACATTTTCTTTGCCACTTCCACACGTGGTTCTAGAACAGGATTTATTTATAGTTTCAACCACTTTAGTTTTCGTAGGGTCCATATATAGCGATGTTTCGTCTAAATTCTACCACCCCCTGGACCTGGACCCATCCCCTGGCCTGCCAGATCGCTCGACCTGACGCCCTTGGATTTTTTGTATGGGGTCGGGCTAAAGAGTTGGTTTATACTAGTGAAATCACGTCCAGAGAAGAATTACATCAAAGAATAATAGCAGCATTCGAAATCATTAAACAAGAAATGCAGATGAAAATTACAACGACGGAAGTAAGAAGACGTTGCAGATAGTGCATTTGCAATGGTGTACGTCATTTTGAACACGAATAATAAAAAAAAAAACAGTACAAAACAGTTTTTTTTAATTCCTAAAAAATTCATATTCACGACCCTTAATTGGTTCAGGCGCCCTAATTAAAAAAGCTTAAGACTCAGCTACGTAAAAGCATGTTTTTAAAGTTGTCTGAATACCTGTAGGTGTTTTATTTTTTTTTTTAAATGACATTGGTTGCGCGGAAAACCATTCGTATTTGTTTTATTTGACGGTAGGCTGCCAAATCGGTTATCCCTTTCCAAAACGATATCATTCGTACCCTCCTATCGACACATCGGGGTGGTGGGGTGGGAGGGGAAAGAAGATGATTCTAGAACATCACGTAATCATCGGAACCGAGGATAAATAAGACACGCGCGACCGACGCGTGGCCTCTTCCCGCCGCGCTCGCCGTTGAAACCACACCGCCTAGGATAATAGTGTCCTAAAGAGCTCTTCCCGCCGCGCCCGTTGTAGAAACCGCACCACTAGTAGAAACCGCTTTAACCTGGAAGCAATCGAGCTCCAGGAAACTCGCCTCACCTCGTGTGAGATATAGTCGCGCACCGCCCCTCTCCGGAGTGTTCCAGAAATCGCAGTTATAGTGCTCGACCGCATAGAAGAAACATCCCGGTGAGTCAATATCCAATATTATTGCCTGCTTGATATAATCGTTTTAACCCGCTCCAATTTTGTGTTTTCCTAATCAAGCAGGATTCCTTTCATCGATTTGGCAAATAATAGTTCGTTTTTTTTGGGAAGAGCGAGTGCATTGTACCGCATATATAAGTGTAGAATCAATTAGTAGATACAGTCCACTTAGATCAATATCTCGCGTAATAGGTTTAAGGTTCGACCGGGGAACTAGACTTCGGCAGCCTTAAACACGTGGCTCCACCAGACATCAAAATTCACATTTTTTATTTTCCTTCTTTTTTTTGTAAAGTTTAAATGCTTTGTACATAACTTTTTTGGACACAATGGAGCTTAAAACTACTTTGGTACGATCGGGGACATATTGGACTACTATAATAATAAAAAATACGGATATTTCTGTTTAGGTTAGAAGTTATTAGCATTTAATTGACCAATTTTGGGTTTTTCGTGCTAAAATCGTAAAAGTCCCCTTAAAAATCGAAATGGCGCTAGAAATTTTTTTTTGGATGAATATGTTCTAAATGGTCTAGTGTATCACCCCTTCTAATTTGTGCACCCGAACACCAAACACCCTGTATATTAAATGTGGTTTTTCAAATAGATCCAGTTCGGTCAAAGTGTCTCGCAACAAATCAAAATAGTCAAAAATTATAAACGGGTCCGTCATTTGCTTGTCACATGTTGCGGCTTCTTGGTGGATAATCTATGTCGTTTACGAAAATTTATAAATCACTCAGTCCCTGGCTTGTTATTTTTGAATATGTTATTAAGATTAATTTTCTTGACATAATCCTCAACCATTCTTAAAATTTCTCGCCTTGACAAACCAAAGCCCCATTTTTTCATGACACGGATTGCCTCAGCTAATCTTTTCTTCGATTGGATTTGCTTGTGGTCTCGCCTACGCTTTTCGTACTCATTCCTTTCAGTCTTCCAAATAAAGTCGTAGTTGGGATTTGATATTTTTTGAACGCAGCATACATTGACAAGTCATCGTTCTTTACTTCCTCAAGAGCTCTTTTCATGTCTTCCTGTGTATATGGCTTTTTTTTCCATTTTTATAGATGTATGCGGCATATTCACTGCAACAATTAAGTAATAAAAATTTAAAAAATAATTTAGGAGCTTTTTCATAAGTCCACTTGCGCCCTTTCTAATGATTATTATTATTTGAATTTAACAATAAATAATCAAAAACGAGTGCCGCTACAGTCTATAGTTTGTATTGAAGCACCTTTTGAATACTTACATCACATTCTTAAATAACCGAGTACTTCAAACTAGGGAAACACTTTATTTTGGATAGCCTAATTTGAAGTACCTTACCATAGTCCATAACATAGTACCGTAGTCAGTACCGTAATGTAATAAATAATGTAATATATTATTGTGAAGTATGGAGTGTAGAAGTAAGGAGTACAAACTGTGTATTAAAAAGTGTCCATAGAAAACCGTTAAATAAGCGTGGTGCCACTATAGATACGTGCAAAATTTTAAAGAAAGTGCCCAAAAATATTAGTGGGATAGATGACTTTTTCGAAGTTATATTTACTAAATAAAATTATTTTAGATTTTAGAGCTACTGAGCAGTTTAGCAGCACACTTCAAACCGTCGACAACTGCTAAGTTCATTTCATCCCAGTAGCTACTCCAGCGCTATTGTGGAGAGTTTTTGAACTGTTATTTACTGCTTACAGATGGCCAATTTTTCAACTATTCTACTATGGGAGTTGGTACTCCTTACTTCTACACTCCATATTGTGAAGACTTGTGAAAGGGTTCTTAAGAGACAATTACATAATATTGTCAATCACATCAGTAAGAAAGTAGTGTAACAAAATAATAAGAAGTTACTTAATATAGCAGCGCGCTATGATGGCCATTTTGACAAGACTATTTTAAGCGTGATGTTAAATGATGGCCATTTTGATATCTTACAAATAATAATATCACACATTTAAAATTACTAACAAAGCGTCCATCATAAATAATGACACACTCAAAACATTCACGTCAAAACAGCCATCATAGCGTGCCAGTGCCACCAAATTAATACAAAGTTTATGTTTTGGCAATTAAAACTCAAGGTTTTGATCAAACAATTCATAGAATTGTTGAGAACCACTGGCATTGACAAAGACAAACTGTTCGACATTACCCCATATGAATAATTCAGAAACAAGCAATTTATCTTTAGTTATAACGTTCTAATACACACGAAGCAGCACACACGTTAAAACTGGCAATCTATCCAAAAACAAAAACACCAATACTTTTACTCACCAAAGTCCAGAAACACAGACCCAAGAGTAATTCTGAAAGTCGAAAAAACGCGCGAAATCTGCTGAGCAAAAGAGGGGAAGGGGAATAAGATGGCATCTAACTAAATGTTGCTGGACTACAAACGCATGTTGCGTTTAGTAGTATTTTGTGATTTTCGGAATTAGCCTATTTTCGTATTTACCCCACTCCACCTTACTTCCGGTTGCAGTGATACTAGATAATTTTACAAAAATTGCATACATTTGCTTCGAAGTGGCAAGTTTCGATTCCACTTATTTTGCGATTATTTTGTATAATATTTTGATAAAGACTAGTTATCGATTATATTAAATTATACTATATTCAGAATTGTATTGGGATTGAGCTGAATATTTAAATCATTTGACAAAATCCACTCCACATCTTAATGTAATGATTATTATTCATCACAAACAGATTTATATGATATGAAATAAATTTTCGTTAATATATTTATTTTGTATAGTAAATTATATTTACTTTAAAATCGCTTCCTTTTCACTTCATGAACTATAGTGGCAGCACTTGGTATTTTACAAAAATATTCAGAAAATACGAGTTTTAACAATAATATTATGTTAAAAATATTCGCAGATGAAAAGTCACGTTATCTTTTTGTAGATTTGACTATTTTGATTGTTTTTTGCATGAAAATACACTGTAATTCGGCATTTTTGTCGAAGCTTATTTGAGAGGCACAATCACACTTGTCACTTGCGTAATGGCGCACGATGCAGAGCAACTATAGTCAACCAAATCTAAGAAATACATTTTGACAGCCGTCAGACTTATTGCACCAAGCATGCCAACAAAAAAAAATGGGAACGTTCAATATTCGATTCTTAAAAAAATCGATATCGATTATTTAGTGTTGGTAATCATTTAGTTAGATTTGAACAATACCAGAATAAATTAAAAACGGATAATTTAAAACAAGATTTATCAGTTTCTTCATATTTGTTGTTACTGTTTATTTCTAGAGGCACAGTTATTAAAATTTAAGATTGAAACTAGATTAAAAATAAATTTATTCAATCATTTTCAGTAAAACTAGTAGAGATGTCGTTGTTTATAAATTATTATTTGATTTTCAATAATGAAGTCAAAATTAATGTCTCTTTCAAAGTCACCCATAATCAATTTTTTTGTTTTTTCTACCACTTTTGCCCAATCATCCTTTGAGACATGGGCACATGCTTCAACGAATATATTTTTTTCATAGCATTGGATGACAAACGAGCACACAGTCCTCCTGATGGTAAGTGGATGCTATGGCCCATAGACATACATA